CGTATCTTCTATTTTCCTCCTATCCGTTCCTTCGTCGAGGAGTTGGTGCACATATGTACGTAATAGGTATTCGTTGCAAGACACATATGTATACGTGTATGTATGACTTGCAACTCTGACGACAAAATGGTTTCGTGCGAAAATGTAAGTTTGTTGAATTAGATTTTTGACTGTGAAAAAAGAAAAGTAAAGAAAAGAAAAGAAAAGAAAAGAAAAGAAAAAAGAACAATGAAATGAAATGAAATAGAAAAAGGAATTTCAAGGAGAAGAGCGTCCGTTTGATCGGAACGATGGCACGGTGTTACAGGTACAGTCCGTTGGCGGGTGACCTCCTTGCGAACTCGATGCTGCCAGGTAACGCGATGAACGGTTCCGGTTGGTGCATCTTTGTCTACAACCTGGCACCCGAGACCGAGGAGAACGTCCTGTGGCAGCTCTTTGGTCCTTTCGGCGCCGTCCAGTCGGTGAAGGTCATCCGGGATCTTCAGACAAATAAGTGCAAGGGTTTTGGTTTCGTAACGATGACCAATTACGAGGAGGCGGTGGTGGCGATTCAAAGCCTGAACGGTTACACTCTCGGCAATCGCGTGCTCCAGGTCAGCTTCAAGACGAACAAGAGCAAAGCCGCGTAGGGCAAGCAACAACAAGCAGCAGCAGCGGCAGCTGCGGCGGCAGTGGTAGCTGCCGCCGCGGCAGACGCGGTAGCGGTAGCAGCAGCAGCAGCCTACGATCATCGTGAGCGACTCCTACGTACGGTGGCTCAGCTCCCGGTAGCTTTACCGGCTCACGTCTACACCAAGAGAACCAACAATCAGCAGCACCAACAACAACAACAACAACAACAACAACACCATAACCACCACCACCATCACCAACATCATCAACAACAACCACAACAACAACAACAGCAGCAGCACCACCACCATCATCATCACCACAATCACCAAAATCATCAGCAACAACACCATCATGCAATTGGCGGTAACGTTGCTGGGAACAATAGCGCCGCCGGTGGAAGCGGCAACAATCATCCTCCTGGCAGCAACACTATTCTACATCGTGCTGCGAGCCAGAAACAGGGCCATCATAAGCAGCCCTTTTCTCTCCAGCGTTTACCCTCGCGCTGGCACGAGCTAACGCACTCAAGATGGCCGCCTCAGGAACATCAGCAGCAGCAACAACATAACGCGCAACAGAAGCAGACCTCCTTTAAGAACAAGCCTACCCACCAGACGGTCGGCAACAAGAAGCAGCTACAGCAGCAGACCGAGAAAGCGTAATGTCGTGTGCATGTGTGTATTGGTGAAAGTATGAGTGAAAGAGAGATAGATAGAAAGAAAGAAAGAGAGAGAGAGAGAGAGAGAGTGTGTGTGTATGTGTATGTTTGTGTGTGCGTACGTGTGAAAGAAACAAAGAAAACGAGTATGGGGGTTTCGTTTAAAAGAGCAGGGAAAGAAAGAAAGAGAGAGAAAAAGAGAGAGGGAGAGAGAGAGAAAGCGAGAGAGAAGGAGAGAAAGAGAGATAAAAATGGGGGATGCTTATCAAAAATCAATGATGCAAACTGCTAATCAATATCAACTGGGTTGAGCCAATGGGTGGACGAGAGAAAGAGATTGAAAGAAGTAAAGTTCGATAGAATTTTTTTTTTCTCTCCCGGACACATATTCTTTCTCTCTTTCTCTTTCACACTTTCTCTCTTTCTCTGTCTGTCTTTTTTTTTCACTCTCTCTCTCTTTCTCTCTCTCTCTCTGTCTCTCTCTCTCTCTTTTCTTTACCTTTTTTCCCCCTGTTCTTCTACTTTTTCTTTTAATCAAATCAACGTCGTACTCCAGCTCGTTTTCCGCAACAACAACAATAACAACAAAAAAAGAAAAAGATAGAAAGAGTGATGAAAGAGAAAGATATCGATGAAGTCGATAGCAAAAGTCGATTAGCTGTAAAAGGTACATATTAATAACGTATGCACGAGAAAAGGACAGAGAAAAGAAATGGAGTCGAACGTGTTCTTAGGGGGTGAGGTTGAGAAGATCGGTTCATCAGTTTTGTTCTCTTGGAAGAGATGGAAAAGAAGGAGCAGGATAAAGTTGAAGGGAGTAAAAATAAAAAACAGAAAAAAAAGAGAAGAAAATAAGAAAGTAAGTAAGAAAGAAAGAATAAAAGAAAGGAAGAAGAAGAAGAAAAAGGTAGAAAAAAATGGGGCAGGGCTCGCATTAAAAATTAGAGGCGGGGTGGGTTGCTATTGCTAACCATATTTACGTACTTAAATCTAGTTCAATTACTATTTTACCGTTTAAGTGAGTATATTACAAAATCGCAAGATGGTGTCTGTTCTGTTGGATAAGACAAAAAGAGAGAGCGGAGCGAGCGAGAAAGTAGAAAGTAGAGTGACTGAGCGTGCGTAAAAGTGAGACTGAGTGTGAGAAAAAATATATAATATATGTACGTAGTATATATATAATATATATATATATATATATATATATATATATATATATATATATATTTAATACGGACACAAATGCAACACGCGTAACATTGGAAAGAGAAAAAAGGAAGGATAAAGGATAGAGAGAAATAGATGGAAATAGATTCGGAGCCGAGGGATTACGTCGTTTCTAATAATTTAATAATCCGTAATAATTTTCTTTAATAATAATTTTCTTTTTATGCTAGTCAAGGAAGACACAAAGACTCGTGTACTTTACCTAACACCGGTTTATCCCAAAGATCAGTCAGTATTTAACGTCGTTCGTTCGTTCGTTCGTTCGTTCGTTCGTACGTTTGTTCGTTCGTTCGTACGTTCATTTGTTCGTTCGTTCGTTCGTTCGTTCGTTCGTTCGTTCGTTCGTTCGTTTGTTCGTTCTACGCGCATATCTTTTTTTATATTAACAATTGTATTACTACTTATATTATTACGGACATATGCCGAGAGTGATTCTGTTATACATACATGTATATTCTTACACAACGAGAGAGAGAGATAGAGTGAAAGAAAGAATGAGAGAGAGAGAGAAAGAGAGAGAGAGAGAGAGAGAGAGAGAGAGAGAGAGAGAGAGAGAGAGGAAAAGTAAGAAAGGATGAGAAAGAAGAACGATTCAACCAAAAGTCTTTCTCGTTATATTTATTACTATCGAATGGTCCACCGTCTCTAGGAGAACGCGTCTAGTCTCTATATACACGTATATATACATACATATATATATATATATATATATATATATATATATACATATACATATACACACATACACTCAAACATATACACGTAGGACAGAGGACAGAGCATAGACAGACAGATGGACAAACGGAAAGACAGAGACAGAGAAACAGATGGACAGACAGATAGACAGACGGGTTTACAAAAAAAAAAAAAAAAAAAAAAAAAAAAAATAAGTAACGTATTTAATCAACGTACTCAAATGTGTACGCGATCTCATGCAATACGAAATCCCGTTTTGGTTTCTTTTCAAGTGCATCGACGAGAGAATAACGACGATTCATATTCATTATCATATATTATTTTTAGTAGGTGAAGAGGACCTGGATTACGTTCGTAATACAAAAGAAAAAATAAAAAAAAAGCAAAAAAAAAGAAAAAAAAAGAAAAAAAAAACAAAACGTGTCCTCCGTCGTGTAGAGAACGTAATTCTATTATTATTATTATTATTATTATTATTATTATTATTATTATTATTATATTATTATTATTATTATTATTATTATTATTAAAATAATAATAATTATTATTATTATTAAATAACGATGTTCGCGACGGTAAGAAAGGGAACACGTGTGTTCGTTTCGCCACGAAAATTTTACACGTCGATTCGCTATGCCGAACCGAAGGCAAGTCATTCCGACCGAGCGTGATAAAAATACTTCAAATGAAATGAAATGAGATAATATGAAATAAAAAGAAAAAAAAATGGAACAAAAAAGAACTTAATAATATTAAATGATAAATAATAAATGTAGGATTCGTATCCGTTCGTTGGTCAAACGATGATGATGTTTCTCTTAATGGTAGTTTATAATTTTCTTTTTTTTTCTTTCTTTCTCTCCTTTTCTTTTTCTTTTTTTTTCTTTTCTTTATTTCTCTCTTTCTTTCTTTCTTTTTCTTTTTCTTTTTATTTTCTCTCTTTTTCTTCTTTGTTTTTAGATTTAGGTTAGTTAATACACATATATATATACATATAGCGTATATATTAATATATATGTTGTCCTATTTATGTGTACCTTCTTGTGTCTAGTCCAGGAGCGAGGAGAGATAATATAGATCGTGGAAACGAAATCGATTGTTTGTCTGTTTACGAAGATTAAGAAAAAAAAGAAAAAAAAAGAAAAAAAAGATGAAAAAAAGAGGAAAAAAAATAAAAAAAAAGAGAGAGAAAGAGAGGGAGGAATGGTGAAAAATAAGTGACTCGATTGATCGTTTCCAGCCATAATAGAAATATATACATATTTATATATATATATATATATATATATATATATATATATATATTTAAATATGATAACTAATATATAAGATATCTTTCCGAGCTCCTAAAATCATATAGGAACTTATATTGAAGTGACCGATGGTTTTTTTCTAAGATTTTATTTATTGAACACACTTCATCGTATTTTGAATGTCGTATGTAATCTCGCGATCGCGGACGACAAGGTTTATACATAAATAACGTACGTAAATACGACGAAAAGGATTGATTATCAAGTGAAGAATAAATAAGGAAAATAAAAAATCTGATCATTTAAAAATTATCGCTTACGTCTTAAAGAGTTATAACATTTCGCGCCATTAATTAATATCTCGTTATCCCTCACGAGAGGAAAATAAGAAATGAATGAGAAAAATATGAGGTCAATCTTTTGATTAAAAAGAAAAAGAAAAAAAAAAGAGAAAGAGAGAGGAAAAAATGCGATCGATTGTGGAGCTTGTGCGTATCACTCTGAATCGTTTAGAATTTCTTTTCCTTTTTCTTTTTTTTTTTTTTTTTACTTCTTTTTTTATGAGGGAACGGGAAAAAAACACATCGTGCTCGAGGTATTCCCTTGTCGGATGCAATAAAATTCGACTACCGTCTTTACAAAATAGTTTCAAAAGCGGTACGATCATTATCACTTATCTTGATCATGAACGATTATCTGCTTCTCATTATAACGTGCATATATATATATATATATGATATAATATATATATACACATATATTATTACAATTATTCTGGTTATTATTATTATTATTATTATTATTATTATTATTATTATTATTATTATTATTATTATTATTATTATTATTATTATTA